GTTTATTGCACGAGTGAATAGGACAACCACTCCAAGTTTGTACACATAAACGAAAGAGGAAACGACAGTTGGGAAAATCCTGTTCCAGGTTTTCAGGCAACCCGTGTGATTGACACATGATATCACTGGAGGCGTGTCTTGGAGTGGAGGTGGAGGTGGCCGCGAGGAGCTGAAATTCTGCGGAGCTAGAGTGGGATCTCTCTGTAAGGCACGCAGTGGTTTGCAGAGTGATATCAGCAGACAGAGCTCCCTGCCTTGGATAAGGAAAAGCTACAATCGCAGTAAAAGTGCCTGAAAAGCAATTTCCAATCTTTGCATTAGGTAAGAACTATTTCCTTCCTTTCCTTCTGTAGACATTTCAGGAAAAATTAGGCGGAAAATGTTTGTATTTGTAAGGAACTGAACATTTTTTTGAACTCGCTTTAGATCGGAGATTACTGGTTGCATTTCAAAACACCAGTAGCATTCCCACAACTAAAGCGCTTAACTAAGTGCAACCACTGGGGGCGGGCGGGGAGGAGGGGGGAGGAAAGCAACATAAAAAAGCATGATCCCTTTCACTTTTTCTCCTTATCTGAACAGTAACAAGTTTAGAGTTTGAAAGGATCGGATGTGTGAAAAGCGGGGTGGCTTATGCTGTAGAGGGGCTGGCATTCTGTGTGTGGACCAAATGCCTGTTTGTATAGGCTTTGTTGCCGAGCGAATCCCGAGCGAAGCAATTGTTTAAAACCTGAATTTCTCGTCTCTGTGTATTGATTTCCAATGCGCAGAGGCGTTGTTTGAACTCCTAGGTATTCCAAGGGGGCAAAAGCACTTGGGCAAAAACGTGCAGGACTGCATGCTACTTTGGTTCGCTGCTGACACGCCGACTGTGCGCCGGCCTGTCAATCATTCCGAGCAGCAACAGCCAGCACATGGCAGAGGGTTGCGGGAGGCGGGCAGCAGACCAGCGACCCGCCCCGCTCCACTCTGGCCCGGCGGTGGTGCGCGCTGCGCGTCCAAGTGCCTGGAAAGAAAGGAAAATTAATATATATTCTTTAATCTCCAATCGTCTGTAGCAGGCGTTTCGGTCGTGGAACTAGTGGGTCGGAGGATTGGGAGCGAGCGCTAACCCGGCGAGGCTGACCTGCCTGAACCAGAGATCACGGGGACGCTGTGCCCCTACTTCCCCAGCGTGCGGGATCGCGAAAGTTCCTCGGCCTGCGCGGGGACAAGGGACCACTCTTGCCCTGAAGAGGACCCTCAAATCTCGCTCCCTTCACCACCAACCCCCAAAATACGCGGGTAAAAATCCCCACCCCCTCGGCCACTGAGGCCTCCGTATCGCAGACGCGTGCTCTGGAGCCCTGGTGGGACGTGCACAGCTTCGTGACCCGCTCTCGGAATCCAATTCGAATCCCCGGGAGCTTCGGAATTTTGACTCGGATTTTCGCTGGTCAGGAGGCCGCCACACCATCCTTCCCACAAGGAAAATCAGAGCTCGAAAAGTACTCTTGTCCGAGCACACCGTGACAGGCAGCTGGTCCGTCACGCACTCGTCTCTCCGCTGCTCCTTGCTTGCATTTCTGAAAAACTCGGAGAGCACTCCGAGTTTTGTTTTTCTTTTCCTTCTTCTTGGAGAGGTCTGCAGGAGAAAAACTCTTAGAGGTGGATGTTACTGAGCCGCCCGGCTCACAGGAGCTGTGAGAGGTCAGCGCCGGAGAATTGTCCCCCGCAGCTGGAAGGGGGCCGTGGGGAGCGCTCCTGCCGGGCAGCGGCGGGGGCGGGGGAGGCTGCGGACCGACTTGCCGCAACTCCGGAGATGCCTCCTTGTCCTCCTCGCCTCGGTTGATGCGGCGTGTGCATGCCGCCACTCGCATCGGGACCTGGGCCGGGTTGCACGGCTTGGCCCCCCGCCTCTGCTTTGGCCTAGGTGAGTGTCCTGCAGCCGTTCTCCGCCCGTCAGGGGCTGAGTGTGCACGCCGTGGCAGGTGCGGACTCTGGGGAGAGGCGACCGGCTGGGTCCTACGGGAAGGACAGGGGCAGCGGGACGACGCCCGCGAGTCTTGGGCCTCTTCGCTCCGCCCCCCCCCTCCTTGCCCCTTGGGACCGAGGTGATCGGGTCGGAATAACTGGTGGGCGACGTTCCGTAGCTGAGTTTAACGACTTCTCCGGTCCCCAGTTGCCCAGAATGGTGGCATCGTGGCCTCAGTTGTCCTCCGGGAGGAATCCACCACCCGAAAAATGGAATCTAGTTGATTTTCATGGTATTCCCCGAGGCCCCTACTGAGCTGCTGTGCTTTTGTCAACGGCGAGCTTTCTTTGGAATCTCCCCTCATATGCGAGGACCGGGAAGGGGGAGTGTTGTATGTTTGTGTGTGTAGACCCCTAGAACTCGCTGGTAAGCCCCCCGACTGAATTCGTCTGTGCACTAGCGGGCTTCAACTTTATTCTTGTTTTGAGAGCGATGAAAAGGCAAGGGGAGGGGAAAGGGCTCTGCCACTTTAAAAATGGGGAAGTCCGCCCTCCTGAGGTAATGGTAACCTCAGCCTCTTCCCCTCCTCCTGCTAGAGAGAGGGAGAGAGAGAAAACTTGTTTTCATTCATAACTTTTTCCTTTCCTTCCTCTCTGTCAACTATTTATTCTCCGCTTCTCCCAGCTCGGATTGCAGAGGGCGCAGCACCACCGTCGTAACTTGCAAGGTGGCTACACAGCTCTGCTGCCCCTGCCCCCGGCTTTTTTTCATCCCGACCCTTTCGTGAATCAAGCTTTTTCTTGAATTTATAAACAGACAGATGTATTTATCATCATCCACACCGTGGGCTGGCTTTTGGCGCCTGCGTTAACGCTTTAGGCGCTTCATGATTTGTAAAAAAAAAATAAATAATAAATATAAAAACCTTGGTGGGGTATGCAAGCACTGTTGAAAATCCTCGGTGATCCTTTGGTTGTGATGGGATTGTTGGAAAAGGTATTCTACTTTGATTCTTTTTTTGGTGTGGGGGGATGTTTGCAGATATCATGTAAGCATGTTTGGTGTAATAGACCGAGGACTGTCATTGCCTGAAAATGTGCTTTGCTTCAGATCAGACGTGGCTGGTGTTCTTTGCTTTTTAATTTTTATCTGGTAATTTACCAGCCAGCATGAATTTTATTACAACTATCTTTGAAAACACAGGTTAAACGTTGTGCATGGTGTGTTTAGAACACTATTCAAGTCCTTCACAGTTTTTTCTTTACTGTGAAATCTAATTTAGTATTTTCTAGATACCCTTTGCTTTCAGAGCACTAGGTTGAAACAGTTGTTTGCGAGCAGGAATGATTTGGTGTAGGAGAAGCAATTAAAAAACTTTTTAAGTCCATAAGGACTCCAAGACTTTCCAACAGGTTGTGAACGTGTTTATCTTTAGTTACAGAGAAGGTAGAATAAAGTAGAAACTTGGAGTTCTGCATTGTGAAAGTGAAGCAAGAAATTAATATAGTTATGACGTAGCTCATTTAGTTGTAATATGTGTAATGGACTTAATTCTGTTCTATTCCTTAATCCAGGGATTTGGAGCTAGAGGTGGTAGCGGGGGAATTGTTTTTTTTCCCCTCAGTCTTCCAACTGGGTTAACTCTACAGACTTGAAAAGGAATTTGTGTGAAAAATATACTAGATCACTAGTAACTGAAAATGAAAATGCTTTTATGTTTTGGTAGTTTGTTTTATGAAAAGTACATTATAAATTACAGTTACAATTACTGGTATAGAAACAGAAGTGCTTATTTTTATCAGGATACTAGTGTGCTCATTTTGTTACAAGATTCAGAGTTGGCAGTGCTTTTGAGAATCAAGGTCTGTCATGTAAATGGGGAGTTTCAAATGAGAGAAAATACAGATAATTTAAAGGGTCAGGATTTCCCCTTATTACTTTAAAGGCCTGACACTTACTTGTACATAAAAGTTACCTTGTGATGTGATGTGAGTAAGCCCTTATTTCATCTTTAAAAAATGCTATTGTGATTTCAAGTGTGACTGTTCTGTAGTTCACAGAACTATATATTGAGTTTTGCCTGTGTGGGTCGTCTACCTCATACATCTATTTTTATATTTTGTAGCTAGCTTTTTTTAATCCTGATTTCTTGAGATTCTGTGTTAGTTTCATTCTCTTTTCTCCTTACCAGTTGTTGTTGTTATGTGTCATCGAGTTGGTTCCTAACTTTCCTCATCATTAATATGATGGTTGTAATAGCAAATGAATGACAAAAAGGCAACAGCACCAATGCTATTAATTTAGAAAAACAAAAGAAAAAAGGGTATTTTTCTTTTTGGGAACCCCTGATAAACTGGCCCTGAGTTGTTTTTGAATTACAGCTATCCCAGTGCTGGTGTTTAATAATACCTTTGAAGACATACTCCATTTTAAGTTAAATTCACAAATAGGAAGGCATTGCTTCCTCTTCATTACCCTTTTTAAAGATTAGAAAAATATTTAAAATTTTTATGGTAAGTTGTTGTTATTGTTAGGTGCCATCAAGTCAATACTGACTCATAGCGACCCTTTGTACAACAGAACAAAACACTACCCTGTCCTGGGCCAACCTCACAATTGTTGCCATGCTTGAGCCCATTGATGCTGCCACTCTGCCAGTCCATCTCACTGGGGGTCTTCTTCTTTTTCTCTGACCCTCCCTTCACCTTACCAAACATGATAACCTTCTCCAGTGCCTGGTCCCTTCTGACAGTATTTATGATCTAGGGTCTCTTTTTTTCTATAATGTGGTCCCCAGCCTATCTTGGACTTGGACTCTGGCCAGGACCCCAGCATCACTGTAATCCGCTGATGAAGGAGATCATTACCTGGTGGTTTAGGCAATTTGTGATTTGACAGGATTCTCACACACCTCCCCCCCCCACCACCAAAAAAAATGCTTCCTGTCATTTATTTTCTTTCTTATTTTTTTCATCTTTGATTTCCTTTTAGGATTTCAGATGCATGCCAGGTTTCTACTGATTGCCAGAATTCAAGATCACTACACATGGATCCCCAAAATCAACATGGCAGTGGCAGTTCATTAGTTGTGATCCAGCAACCTTCTTTGGATAACCGTCAGAGAGTAGATTATGAGAGAGAGATACAGCCTGCTGCTATCTTGTCCTTAGACCAGATCAAGGCCATCAGAGGTAGCAATGAATACACAGAAGGGCCTTCAGTGGTGAAAAGACCAGCTCCTCGAACAGCACCAAGACAAGAAAAGCATGAAAGGACTCATGAAATTATACCAATTAATGTGAATAATAACTATGAGCATAGACCGACCAGCCATCTGGTACATGCAGGACTCACAAATAATGCCAGGGGCCCCATTTTGAGCAGATCAACCAGCACTGGAAGTGCAGCCAGTTCTGGGAGCAACAGCAGTGCTTCTTCTGAGCAAGGACTGTTAGGAAGGTCACCACCAACCAGAGCAGGCCCTGGTCATAGGTCCGAAAGGACAATCCGGACCCAGCCCAAGCAACTGATAGTGGATGACTTGAAGGGTTCCTTGAAAGTGGACGTAACACAGCACAAGTTCATTTGTGAACAATGTGGGAAATGCAAGTGTGGAGAATGCACAGCTCCTAGAACTCTGCCATCCTGTCTGGCCTGTAACCGGCAGTGCCTTTGCTCTGCTGAGAGCATGGTGGAATATGGAACCTGCATGTGCTTAGTCAAGGGCATCTTTTACCACTGCTCCAATGACGATGAAGGGGATTCTTATTCGGATAATCCTTGCTCCTGCTCACAGTCCCACTGCTGCTCTAGGTACCTGTGTATGGGAGCCATGTCTCTATTTTTACCGTGCTTACTCTGTTATCCTCCTGCTAAGGGATGCCTGAAGCTGTGCAGGGGGTGTTATGACTGGATCCATCGTCCAGGGTGCAGATGTAAGAACTCCAATACTGTCTATTGTAAGCTGGAGAGCTGTTCCTCCCGGGGTCAGGGTAAACCATCATGATTTTTGGGAGGTGGGTTGAACCTCCAGAAAATGTTTAGCTTTCAAATTGTGGCTGTTAAAAAAAAAGATTCTATTAGATACTGGTTTTACTTTCTTTAGAATTTTTTCCTGTTTCCCATCTTCTCCTCCCCTGTTCCCAAGGTTTGACTCATGGAATTTACTCTTCTCTCATGGATGATCTTCAGTTAAAGTGGACTGTGAAATTGCACCTGCCTCCCACTTTCTACAAGTTCTTCTGCCAACCACTTGAGAGGGTGTTGAGAGCTAGTGGGCTTTTGTGTAGCCTTTTTGTTCTGCAAGCAACTTTCCAAAGTTGTACACATGAACACTCCCTGCCCCCCCCCCTCAGACTACAATGATTTAAAGTTTTGGGTTGGGTACTATGGGTAGAGGAAAATTGGTTTTTAAAGAAGTGACCTTTTAATTGCTTAAATAAGCTATGTATTAAATCTGTCTCCAACTAAGGCCATTTCATAGCATTGGACCCTTAAGTAGCATGGGGGATATTTTCTGTTATAAATTTTTTTCTTTAATCACTGCCCTTCTTGCCCCTCATTGTTTTCTCCCTTTAGTTCTGGGCTTATCTTTTTCTAGTGATGCCAGTTTTTTTTGTTGTTGTTTTTTCCTTTCTGTATAATTTTAGATTCACTTTACAATGTAAGTCTTCACATTGGAGATAATATTGTTTGTATTTTGCTCATTCTTGTTCTAGCTTTCATTATCTGTGAAGGACTCAACTCCCTTCCACACCCTAAATTCTCCCCCGAATTTCTTTTGGCATTGAGGGCACTTGGATAACTGAAATTGGTATTTATAGCTGATGAGTCTATAGATGACACAGAACTATGCTGCCTAAAGTGATTTTTGACTCTGCAGTGGTCTTTTTTGGCACCCTTGATTAGTTAGCAGCTGAGTAACTCTAATCTTTTCTGTTTTCATTGCCTTAGCCACAAATTGTGGTACTTTTTGTATATTTTATGTATAAATCACAAAGTTGAATTCTGACTATTTTTAAGACAAAAGTCTGTTAAACTTTTTTATTGTAAAGAATATTTATTATGCGAATCTCTATTATTTTATGATATTTATTGCAAAAGACTGTTGAAATGTACCCATGTCTGAGTATAACAAAATATCAATACTTAACGGAAAATAAGGTGACACCGAGAAAATACATATGTTAACTATAATGCAGAAAATATATTAATTAATGAAACTGTCTCTTGATTTCTTCATTTATTAGCCTATACTATTGTCATTTCTTTTGGTACTTCCTTTATTCGCACCCATTTTAGTTCTTTCCCTTAAGATACTGAATCTAGACACAGGTGAACTCAAATTATGAGTTAGATGTTTCCTGGAAAGTGTATAAAATATGTGATCCACATTCTGCTTCTTATATACTTAAAACAAATATCCAAGTGAATTACTTTAGAAAGTGGAAGTTTTTGGGCAATTAATATGAACAAATACTCCCTATTTTGGCTACTTGGTAAGCACAAGGTTTTGAGTATGTTTTAATTTCTTGAAATGGTGGCATATCCATAAATTTTCAAAAAAGTTGATTTTACTCTCTTGAGCTAATCAGAAATGAGCCTCCAAAAGCAAGACTTAAAAATCTAGTGTAGACATGCTAGGAAACTGGCACTGTCATGCTAATAAAACATTTTAGAAGTTAGTGTATGCCAAGGGAATAGTTCACATTATCAGAGAAATGTTTTAAAAACATTCCTGTCCCTACCTTTTCATTTCCTTTAATAAGTCTTTAATGTGGCCTGATCAAATTACAGTTCTTCATGTCCTTTGAAATAAGAAATCTTAAGGCCTGAAACTTTATATAGAAAAGGTAAATATTTTGAAATCTATTTTTTTTAGCCTGGTGAAATCACTACCTAGCTAGAATCTTTGGGTCTGATAAGATTTTTGTTTATGTGAGTCCTCAAAATATAAAATCTTTGGATCTGATAAAAATTTTGCTCATATGAATCCACAGAGTCACTTTGATCAACTCTCTCTGACTAGGTGATATATAAGGCAAATCTGAATAATTATCCATTTTTGAGAGAAAAATGTTAACAGAATCGGAGCCCAGGATTGAGGCTATCTAAACTAAAATCTGACTCAGTTTTTGTTTTGATCATTCCTCTTAATGGTTTGGCTCCTACTTTGAGTATTTTTTCTTTGCGAATAGGCTTTGATTCTGCTTTATATCAAGACAAGGTGTAAGTGGTAGATATTTCTTCTAATTCTTTTTCATCAAGCAAGTCATTAAGTCTATTTGTTGGCATTATGACATTTGATATAAGCAAGTGTTTTCTCTAGTTTCTGAAAGTAGGAGGTTTTAAAAAAAAAATGACTATGTTTTGGAGCCTACTTCATAATCCATAGTATTTCAAACTTTGAACTTGAGTTTTTTCTTCCAGTACTCAAGTTCTGTGATATTATCACTGTTTCTTTACTATGCAGAGTGTTTGATTGAAATTTGGCTCCTTTAATGAAATGTATAAACACAGACTTCCTCAAAATACTCGGGTTTTTTTTTTCTGTTATTATTCAGATATTGTTATAATTAGAAGTTGGTATAAGAGCTGTAGTTGTAATAACTATACTAAGAAGCTATAGCTTTTATTGAAAGAAAAATTTAACTTTTATTGAGAATGAGGTATGTTGTCAAGTTTCAACTTTAGACCATATGCTGAATCATTAAAACTACAATACTAAGATGGTAGTCTGCTGCTCCTCTGCCTGTATATATTATACTCTGGCATAATGTCAGTTTGTATTTAGAAACAGCAATAGGTTACACGTTCAGATTTCTAACCTGAGGTTTGTCAGGTGGCAAAGTATAAACACTTTGATTCAAAATTTCTTCTTCTGTGATAGTTTGAACTCAGGAGGAAAAACAGATTAGAGTGTGTCCTCTTAAGTGCTTATGAGTTCTAGGCTTTTGAACCTAATACTGATCACCAACATTTTAAAGTAGTAAGACACTTTGAAAGATCCAGCAAAGCTGAAATTTCTTACAATACCTTTGCCATTCCTTTGATACTGTCTAATGAAAACAAAGGAGTCCTGGTAGTGCAATAGTTAAGCACCTAACTGAAAGTACTGTGGTTCAAATCTATCACCTGCTCTTGGAAAAATGGTAAGACAGTCTATCCATAAAGATTACAGCTTTGGAAATCCCTATGGGACAGTTCTGCTCTGTCCTATAGAGCCACTGTGAATGGGAATTCACTCAATGAAAATGGTGTGTGTGTGCTTTAATGAAAAACAAAGCATACCAAGTAGATGGTTAATCTGTCTGTAGTATTCCACACTTTTGACTTTCTTACTAGTACAGCTTGATAGAATGGATGTTTTGTTTCTTTCCAACTGCCTTTTTTTTTTTTTCTTCAAAAAAGGATTATTTCATTTATTGGCAATTAAAATGAGCCCTGGTGATGTAATGGGTTGTGTTGGGCCCCTAACATCAAGGTTGGCAGTTTGAATCCATCTGTCATTCCATGGGAGAAAGGTGAGACTGTCTGCTCCCGTAAAGATGAATAGTCTTGGAAACCCTATGGAGCAATTCTACTCAGTCCTCTTAAGGTTACATATTATGAGTCAGAATTGACTGGATGGCAGTGAGTTTGGTTTGTTCTTTTATTGGCAATTAAGACCAGTAGAGGATTTCTGTGTTTGAGCAGTTTCCTGTCAACAGACTTTATAAAGTGTAACCTAGAGGAAAAAGAAATCTGAAAAAGTAGATGTGTTTATATGGAGGCCTAAAGTGAGTCTTAAGGAGCTCTGGTAGCATAGTGGTTACAAATAGGACTGCTAATTTCATGGTCAGCAGTTCGAAACTACCAGCGGTTGCGTGGGAGAAAGATAAGGCTTTCTGCTCCCGTAAAGATTTAGAGCCTTGGAAACCCTGTACAGAGTTGCTATGAGTCGGAACCGACTCCACGGCACATAACAACAAGGTGAGTCTTATAGAGGGTTATAATTTTCAAGTGGTTTTCAAAATCTAAACTAGTTTTCGGTAGCAATAACAACAGCTACAGCAACAAAAAACTAATGGACTTTAAAGTAAAAGAAAATGTGTTAAAAACTATGTTTTTACTCTAAAATTGTTATTTGAATCAAACGTTGATTATTTACAGAAGATTGATATATTTTTTAAAGTGTTTGTCTCCTTTGCTTAGTTATTTTCTTTAAAATTATATATCAGCATATCATAGCAGTTTTTATGAATGGCTCTTTACCAAAAAACACACTTCTTTTTGAAACATATCTTGTATATTAAACCAACAAAAGAATGTCTAGACAGTTTTTATCTTCACATTCTACTTCCATCTCCAACCTTTGTTTTTTTTTTTTTAATTTGAAGAGAGTTTTTAAACATCTTGAGGATAAAACTTTAAACTTTTTTTTTGACTGACAAAGGGTCCCCCCCCCCTTACTTCACAGATTAGATACAATTAGAATAACCATGTACAGTTACTGATTCTTCAAATCTTTCAAACTATTTGAAAGCCATTTTGCTATATTTATTGAACATCTACTAGGTACATGGGAGCATGGTAGATCCATAAAATAAGCTGGACTGTGCACCTCAAGGTCCGGTGTTTGAGCCCACCAGTCACTGTGAGGGAGAAAAAATAAGGTTTGCTGCTCCTGTGAAGATTTAAGGCTTTGGAAACCCTATACAGCATCACTATGAGTTGGAACCAACTCTACGTCACTTAACAACAAACTAGGTACATTATTTTATATGCAGTAGAATTCTAAAGCTGGAAATAATACCTTGCTTAATGTTTCTCAACCCATATGAAAACAATTATAAAGGTAACTAGTTGAAATAACGATGTCTGTCACAGTTCAAATTTATCAAGAACTCTAGGGGAGAAGGACCTGGTATTTTGTAATTTTACAAAGCTTCTTGGGTGATTTTATCATTAGGCAATTTTGGAACTGGTTTATTTAGCTCACTGTCTTCATTTTGAGGTTGTTGTTGTTGTT